CAGTTAAATGATAAAAATTCTCACTACAGGCAACACACTCCACCAATATTCAAAACACTCAACCTACTCACCATACAAAACATCCATACTTATTATTGCACCTATTACATACATAGAACACTTAACTCTGAAAATTAACCCTCCCTCAAACATTCCTTGCCAACCTCAACAGAACACATGACCATAACACAAGGGACAGATCACTCTTTGATGTTCCTCGTGTCATATCACGCTAGGCAAAAAACTCAATGCAATAAAAGACCCTAAAAATCTGGAATTCTTACCTGTAAATATAAAAGAATCATACCTGTTGATAATTCAAGTTCTTCTCAAGTCACTTACGCACTCAAAACAAATAAAAATACTGAATAAAACTCGAACCTTTAGTAATTGTATATCCTATATGTTACTCACAATAATATCACATAAATGTTTACAAACATAGGACAAAATCTAACTTTGTTATTTTTTAAATACACTTCCTAACTGAATATCCCCATTCGACTGAATGTACAGCAATGACAGCAACCATATGACCTGTCTTGTAATACCACATGTATTTTATAGTTAGCGGTTTACAATAATGTTTTATCAACTGTTTTATCATTGCTTAGTGATCTTAAGATAATTTTAAGCCAGCCCGTTAATGCTAGCATATAAGTGGCTTGGAATGTCGGTGCTCTTACCGGTTTATTTTTTTTGTACCTCTGTTGTATGCTTAAATTACTAAATAATAAATAAAAATACGAGGATCATTACTAGGAATAAGGTTTAAATTTTGACACGTACGTTTGCTAATAAATTGGAAAATCATTACCCTCCCTTTTCTGTAGCTACTTTCATCAGACACCTTTTGGCACTCTTCTTGAACTGGTTCATGCTATGACTGGCTTTGACATGTGCGGGTAGTTGTTCCATTCCTTTAGTGCTGTACAATATAAGGTGGTAAATAAATGGTATCCAAAATACCGACACAGGGAAATATAAACACATATGCAGTATAATCTGATCCTTTATTGACAACCGTTTCACCACACAGTGGGCTTTTTTCAAGTCACACTCACAGATCTACTAGGGGGGTGGAGGTACGGGGAGTATTTATATAGTCATGTTCAGAATGTTGAGGTCAGGTGGATGGGGAGAATTGGCTGCATATGATGATCTAACGGGTGGAGGTTATAGACGTCTTGGGTAGCTTGGCGGGGTATTTGACAAGTTGTGAGTAGACCTTTCTGCAGTGTTCTATGTTCTTTGTGGGATAGCGATTGAGAAGTTTCTTGTGATGAAGGTTTGAAAAACCGACAAGTGAGATTGGACACTTATGCAGCAATGGGAATCGTTATCAGGAAAGTTTCGCCACACAGAGGCTTCTCATCAAGTCCAATACATGAGGAAGCTTAAGGAGAGGAGGCGATTCGCAGGGTAATCAGTCCTCAACCTGGAAGTCGATGTAGTTCAGTCCATCATATCTCTGTAGGAATGTAACAGCATTAGGGCCGTAGACGTGGCTTATATACTGTTGTGAGGTGACGTGGAAGCAGATGGTAGGCGGGTCATAGTGGGCCTACAATACTAGTCGAAGTAGGGTCTTCGTCCAAAAGGTTGAAACAAGTGTTGAAGAATTCTTTGTAAACAAGACCCCTGATGCTGCCGTGGCGTGACAGTTGTGATGAAATGGTTTGAAAAAACCGACAAGTTGAAGATTGAGACACTTATGCAGCCTATGGGGAATCTTTATTCAGGAAACGTTTCGCACACGTGGCTTCATCAGTCCAAGCAAAGAGGAAGGCGTAAGGAGAGAGAGGAGAAGGAGGTAATCAGTTCTCCTCAACCTGGAAGTCGATGTTTCAGTCCATCAAATCTTGTAGATTGTACATGCATAGGGCCGTAGACCGTGGCTTATATACTGTAGTGAGGGGGTGACGTGAAGCAGATGGAGGCGGGGTATAGTGGTACCATACACTAGTCGAAGTAGGTCTTCGTCCAAAGGATTTGAACAATGTGTAGGAAGGAATTTCTTTTGTAACAAAAGGAACCCCATGATGCTGCCGTGTCTGACAGTGGTGATGATTGGTTTGAAAAACCGGACAGTTTGAAGATTGAGACACTTATGCAGCATATGGGGAATCTTTATTCAGGAAACGTTTCGCCACACAGTGGCTTTCATCAGTCCAATACAAAGAGGATGAAGTAAGGAGAGGAGGGAGATTGTGGTAATCAGTCCCCAACCTGGAGGTTCGATGTGTTCGGTCCATCAAATCTTGTAGAATGTACAGCATTGGGCCGTAGGACGTGGACTTATATACTGTAGTGTGTGTGACGTGAAGCAGATGGAGGCGGGGGTCAATGTGCGTCCATCCACTAGTCGAAGTAGGTCTTCGTCCAAAGGTTGAACAAGTGTTGAAGGAATTCTTTGTAACAAGACCCCATGATGCTGCGTGTTCTGACAGTTTGTGATGAATGGTTTGAAAAAAACCGACAAGTTGAAGATTGAGACATTTATGCAGCATATGGGGAATCTTTATTCAGGAAACGTTCGCCACACAGTTGGCTTCACAGTTCCATACCAAAGGAGGAAGGCGTAAGGAGGAGGAGGCGAATGAGGTAATCAGTCCCTCAACCTGGAGTCGATGTGTTCAGTCCATCAATCTTGTTAGAATGTAATAGTGGATGGATACCCCTATGACCCGCCTCCATCAGGCTTCACGTCACCTCACACTACAGTATATAAAGCCAACGTCTACGGCCTATGCTTGTACAGTCTAAAGATTGATGGGATCTGAACACATCGACTCAGGTTTTTTGAGGACTGAATACCTCATTCTCCTCCTCTCCTGACGCCTTCCTCTTTGTATTGGACTATGAAGCCCACTGTTGTGGCGAAGTTCCTGAATAAAGATTCCCATATGCTGCATAAGAGTCTCAAATCTTCAACTTGTCGGTCTTCAAACCATCATCACGACTGTCAGACACGGGGCAGCATATGGGGTCTTGTACTTAACAAAGAAATTCTTTCTACACTTGTTCAACATTGGGGGGGGGGAAGGGTCGTAAGACCTACGTCGACCATAGTGGATGGTTTACCACTATGACCCGCCTACATTGCTTTTCACGTCACCTCATACAGTATATAAGCCACGTCTACGGCCTATGCTGTACATTCTACAAGATTGATGGATGAAACACATCGACTCCAGGGTGAGGGACTGATTACATCATTCTCCTCCTCTCCTTACGCCTTCCTCTTTTGTTTGGACTGATGTAGCCACTGTGCGGCCGAAACGTTTCCTGAAATAAAGATTCCATATTGATGCATAAGTGTCTCAATCTTTCAAAAGTTCTCTTGGCGAGTGGTTTTCCGCTCTATGTTATAGAAGCCGTTGTTCTGGTGAAATTGTTGAGTTATAGAGATTAAAGCGATGATTCCAGGATTCTTCGGTATGAGTGTTGTCTTCTGTGGCGATATGTCTTGAGTTTCTGTAGTTTAATTAAAGGGTTGTCGTGAATTGCGATGTTGTACACAGGCATTCCTGGCATGCCAGTCCTGCCTTGCATATTGGGGTCTGAAATACGGGTTTTGGAGGTCTCTTGATGTTTCGCCCACATTAATTTGTTGCAGTCAGTACAAGGGATTATGTATAGCCCTCTGCCAGAGGATGGAGGCTTTGTCTGTTACTACTGGTGATGTCCTTGATGGTCGTGGTTGTGAGGTAGATACTAGGAATGTAGTATTGGAAAAAAAGATGTTGGAAACATGGTTGGCAATGGAGGTTGGTGAGGGGGGGAGGACTATGTATTCTACTTCTCGGCAGTGTCTTCTCTGGGTGTGTTGGAAGATGTTTAATGCCCTCCGTCTGCAGTCTCTGATGAAGTGACGAGGGATAGTCGGATGTTTTAGAAAATACTTGTTCATTTATTGTGCATTCTTCCTCAAGGAACTAATTGCTGCAGATGCTGTAGTGCAAGCAGGAGAAGCCTATAATTACACCACGTTTTGTTTTGGTGTCGTGGTGAGAGAAGAAGTGGGAAGATTCGTTTTGGTTGGCTGGGTTTTCGGATAATCGACTTTTTTTTAAATCGAAAGTTCGTGTTAGCTTTGCAGAGCAGAACATCAAGGAAAGGAAGAGTGTGTGTCGACTTCTTCTTCATGTGTGAATGGGATTGAAGGCTAGACCTGGTGAGGTTCTTGGAGGAGCTTGAACGTTGAAGTGTTTAGGAGTTATGAGGAGGAATGTCGTCAGAACATAAGGGAGCCAGGTGTCAGACGGAGGAATAATTGGTGGAGAAAGAAAAGAAACGTTCGGCTTTCTAGATGTTCCATGTTTTAGGTTCGCCAGGACCTCACTGAGTGGCGAAAACCCATGGGTAGTCCAAAAAGTTGCTGAAAGAGGTTGATTTTTCGAAAGAGAAAAACACGTAAATAAAGCCAACACATAGTGTTCAACAAGGTCGATGAAATCGCTGGTTGGGAATGGGAGATCAAGTGAAATCGTCAATTAACGTGGACGATTCACTTGGGGTTCGATTCCCAGTCAGAAGTAGATAGACAACACTGGACGTGTTTCTTTCCACCAGTTGTCTATTGTTCCCCATCAGGTAAAATGGGTACCTGGTGTTAGTTGTCGACTGGTGTGGGTCCGCTCTGGGACCACTGACAGAATTTGCCCGAAATGCGGTGCATAACAAGGGGCTTTATATGTAGTAGTATTTCATTATTGTCAGCTAGGACTGCATGCCTTGTACATGTACTTGTAGTAAATAAAGTTATTATTATTATTATTAAACTCCAATACGTCTTTGCGGATGTGTGCTTTCATCCCCTACACGTCAGGGCGTCCCTGGGGTTACCATTTTTTCAATTTCTCGACCAATCCACAGGCTTATCCGACACGCTTCTAGTGTAAGTGAGTTATGTACTCGCTTCCTATTGGTTGAGGCAAAAAGTGTAAACATTCTGAGCTTGATGGCGGGTGTGAGTTGTGAGGTGTGAGTTGATTGGTTTTTTCGGTGGATTTATCCTCATATATTGTCAGATTTCACCACTTCACAATGTTGGTAAGTACTTGCTTTTATTTCTGGTGCAAGAATGAATGTGTTAGGCACGTTTGGATAATTAAATAATGGGTGTATGGTGCATACTACTGCCACAATGCAAGTGAAAATAACCGCTGTCAAAAAGATTTTACAAATTTCAGTGGAGGTGCTGATTCAAAAATTTCTTAGCCATTGTTTTAATATTGTGTAAAACGAGACAAGCCTATAAAGATTGTTGAACGGCCTTTTTTTTTTTTAACTATCTCATGGAGAGAGAACTGAAAACTTGAGCTGTTAAAGTTCACTTACAGTCACAACTTATTTCTTGGGGATGCAGGAGGCCATATTAAAAGTATTTAAAATTTTCTCTAAATAAAAGAACCGATAAAAAAAACTATGAATTAAATAAAAATAGCTGGAAGCATGTATCCTCTAATTCTACACTTTATCTCATTCAAGAATATGGTACATGGTTTTGTTTTTTTTAAGCACAGTTCACTGTCGCTGAGTCCAAAAGAAACACTACATCATACTTGCACAACAAGTTCGGCACTGTACAGCGACAGGCTGGCAACTATATCAGCGATCCAGTGCTGGCACTACTATCAGCGACATTTGCTGGCACTATATCAGTCGACAGTGTGCTGGGCACTATATCAGCGACAGCAGTTGCTCGGCACATATCAGCGACAGTGCTGTCTCTACTAGCGTGCAGCATTCTTAATCTCGGACATGTGCACATAGCGCACAACAGCCAAACACTAAGGTCGCTGGAACTGTGTAACACACAGTTCCATACAAGGATTTCTGTAATTTTTTTCATGTACTTGGGGATGGCTACTGACATTATAGCTAAGGATTATATAATGTACAAGTTAATATAAAGAAAGAATTAAAGAAAAAAATGACTTTCATTATATGAATGTTATCAATAAATATGAGGTTGAAAATAGGGGGTTGTTGCTGCAGTTTCCACAGTGCCTATACCTTAAAAGAGGGTTAATGATAACAGCAAACCAAAAGGTAAATTTGTTTGGAAAAAAATGTGTTCTGTACTGAAACAGATCAGACGCACTCGAAACAGCTTCTGGAGCCTTGAACTTTGAGGGCTCCAAGGTTCCACGGTATATTCTTTCTGATGATAGTGAGTGACCCAGAGACTGATGGACAAAATTTTGATTGTCAGAGATACTTTCGGAGAACAAATATGTTCATGTGAAGTGAGGAAGAAGCTAGTAGAGAGACCAAAAAGTCAAGATGTCCCCATAGTGGGTTGGTAGGCACACTCGGCTCACACACTGAGGTCTGTGGGCTCGATCCAATGGTATGGGTGGAAACATTGTGGAAGTGTTTTCCTCTTAAGACACCTGTGTACTGTTCACCTTAGAGTTATTTTTAAATTATAAAATAGGACCTGAGGGGGGCATTAGTGGAGAAATGGTGTGGGTTGCATCCTGAGTACCCCAAAATTGACCTTAATTTGCAGGGAAAAATGCTCTGCATATCAAGGGGCTTTTATTATGGTTAGTATGCCATTTGTTGTCAGCTAGACTGGATACCTTGGGACATATATAAGGTTTGTCGTTAGTAGAAATAAAAGTTTTGTATTTTTTTCATTATTATGATTTTTATCATAATCATGTGGAATTGTGGTCTTTTAAAAATTATGTTAGATTCTTTTTTAAAGCAATTCTGTTTAAGTGTTTCTTAATATGTTTTGTTGTAATGTTTGATGTCAGTGAATCTACTGGTAGTAGTAGTACAGTTGTTTGGCTTTGCTTTATTTCTTTGGTGGAGGACTGATGAATAGTGTTTTCAAGAAGATCTTTGTGTATTAGCCCTGCCTATATTGCTTTTATATTGGTGCTTCTTTATCATTGGATTTCAGAATGGTTTGCTGTGGTTAGATCCATGGGCAACAAGCCGTTTGGTTTGGGATCTTGTTTCGATTTATAGGACAATGTTTGTTTGTATAGTCTAAGTAAATTTTTAAGAAAAAAGTCTGTACAGTCAGTGTCAGTCAGTGGAGACATTCTGTAGGCATCAGTCAACAGTCTCTAGGTCCAGCTGGGTGACATGAACTCTTCCTTATTGAGGCCTCTTCATGGAGTCTTAAATGAAACTTTGTTGCATTTCAAGTGGTGGTGTTTACTATTGTTGTAAAGAGGGAAGGTTAGGTTTGTGGTCTGTAGCTGCTATCTGTGATTATCCCTGATTTTAGGGGGGCTAGTATATTGGTCTATATGTGGGTCTAATTTTTCTTTTTGTGGTTTTGGCACTTGTTTCAGTGAGCTGGGTGGGATTTTGTTTATTGTGGTAGTGAGAGTGTGTGGTTCGTATTGTTAATGAACTCAGTTACAGGCTGATCATCTAGTAGGCCAAGGTTGTTGTTTGAAGTCTCAGCTAAGAGAAGGTTGGTGTGTTATTCAGTTGTCTGTTTGTTCTTAGTTGCCTTTATGTTTTCTCACTGATATTTGGGATGTTTGTGTGCGGGTATCGGTAAAGGCACCGTTTTGTGTTATAGGCGTTCATGAAGGTTTTTTACAGCAAAATTAGCAAAAAGTATTCTCCATATTCATTCACTTAATGCAAGTGGTGCTAATACAAGATAATTGTTAGAGTAATAGATTGCAATTACACCCCCAACTTGGTTGGGTCTGCAGTTGTGGATTGCTGTGTATCCTGGTAGAGGGTAGATAGATCTATTATGTCATGCTAGCAGGTTCTCAGTAAGAATTATTGCAGAAGAAAGAAGGGTTGTCTTCAGTGATTCAAGGGTGCCAGGGAGGTATCATAGTGTTTGCTTAAGGGACCTAATGCTGTAGTTAGTACTGATTGACTTTTAGCATTGTTTTTAGGATAGTGCTGGCTTGTTGTGATGCTGTGTAGGTAAAGGCAGTTACTTTCCAATGGTTTTGATTTGTGTGTCAGATTATGGAGGTTTTAGATCCGGGTCGACGTGACAATGTCTTCTAGGTTTAAATTATGGTTATTTATATCCTGAGGTTGTGGTAGTTTTAGTTATGATATCTGTAGTGGTGGGAAGTGAAGTTTGGACAAGTTATTCGCTATGCATTTTGGTCATGTAGAGTATAGTCACTAATACACATAATGAGTTGGTGTTGTATATGGGTTTTTGGAATGGAATGAGCTTAAAGTACAACTATGTATTATAAACTATTAATATAAAAATTACAAATTTAAAAATAGCACAGGAATCCACTTGTTAAGTGCACTAAGGGCTAATGTAATGACTTGGTTATAGTCTATGTATTGAGCTAGAATGAGCTATAGTTTGCAACAAGGTTTATTTAATATATTAAAATTACAATTTAAAAAATAGCACAGATTCACTTAGTAATTACACTTATGGTCTACTTAATTAAGGAATTTGGTATTGACTATGTATTGAGCTAGAATGAGGTATTGTACTACTGAGTTTAATCTCATGATATAAAAAAAAGGGCACAAGACTCTCAAATTGTTTTATTTGCCACTAAGGTGTTATTAAGTTGTTTACAAGAATTAGAGTTAAACTAGATTTAAATTGACAAGATTAAATCATGCAAGTTAAGGTAGCAAAATAATAAAAAAAAAGTAGAAAAAAAAAAAATTTTTTGAGGTTGTTGGTTTCTATAGCAAAGATAATTAAGGGCCTTTGATCAATATTAATAATTGAAATATCACTATTTTCACACACAATTAGTTCACCTAAGATATGGAAAACTATCTTAGAGTAGGACTTCATAATTATAAAAATGATAATATAAAAATCAAATTGAAAGGTTTTACTTGCACAATTGCCACTAGGGTCTGGTATAGGTTGTTAACAAGTTAAGAGTATAACTAGATTTTAAATGACAAAATAAATTCACAAATTAAAAGTACCTAAAAGAATAATAAGTAAAAAATACAATGGCATTGTCTAGTTTATATTATGATGTAAGATGGTAGGAAGGTACACAGGTACAATGGATAATATAGAGGTTGGAGTTGAATATACAAACTTGGAAATTTGGCAACTAAATGTTATGGGAAGTATAAAATAATGATTAATGTACTAAAGTAAAATTGACTGGTAGTAAATATGGTGTTTAATAAAATTTTAGTAAGTAATAATGATTACAAAACAAGTGAAAAAGTTATGTTTATTTCATTCAATATTGCACTGGTAGTTATACTTGAGGTTATTTGGCAGTACAAGGTAATTAACCCTTTGACTGTTTTCGACGTATAAATACGTCTTACGAGCCAATGTTTCTGACGTATATATACTCAATAATTCTAGCGGCTTCAAATCAAGTGGGAGAAAGCTGGTAGGCCCACATGTGAGAGAATGGGTCTGTGTGGTCAGTGTGCACCACATAAAAAAAATCCTGCAGCACACATTGCGTAATGAGGAAAAAAACAAACTCTGATCGTTTTTTTGGAATAAAACGCCCACTTTGAGGTTTTATTTTTTTTGTATAGTATTTATCGTTGTATTCGCGTTTTCATGGTCTTAGGTGATAAAATGGGAAAACATATTACAGAAAAGAGATGATTTTCATTACTTTTACGATGAAAACGACCTTGAAACTGAGCTCAAAGTAGCGGAAATGTTCGATTTTACCAATGTTCAAGAGTACATAAATCACACAACACGTCCAATACACGTCAACTGGGGGAGTCTAATATTCTTTCACTAGTGCACTGATATTATTTATACCATTTTTACAATAATGCAGTCGTCTGCATAACAGTAAATTTTTGTATTTTTTTGTATGAAAAAAAAATCAAAATAGAAAACAATAATAATTAAGAGGGGGTAGAGATGGGTAATGAAAAAAGCAAGTTATTTTAGTGCCCCCGAATGTCTACCTTGTTTATTTTGGACCTATTTTGAAATTGGGATCTTTTTTATTTTAAAAAAAAAAAAAAAATAAAAAATTTTTAAAAAAATAAAAAAAAAGGTAAAAAAAAATTTTTTTTAAAATTAAAAAAAAGGGGGTTTTTTTTGGGGGAAAAAAAAAAATTTTTTC